GGAAATTATTTGAAAATGTTACTGTGACGGCTGGATCTAAACGTACACAACAACATCTCCCTACCTGCTCTGGCTGGTTGGCGTTGGACAGTGGGATCACCATCCAGATGATGTTGAGGTTGTTGAGGGCGGCGCTGGTGGTGAAAGAGCAGGGCAAGATGGCTGCCTTCCCACGAGCCACCTGGACACTGCTCTGGGACACTGTCACGTCCAGCGCCTGGACACCCACTGTAGGGACAAAGGAGCTGTGGTTAGGGGTTTGGACAGTAGGAGCCAAACAGAGGTCTCAGAACTGTATCTTCATCAGTAACATCTGAAGAAAATGACTTTATTTTCACGTTTATGTTCCGTCAGTCTAAGTTTTATCAGCAGCCGATTAGAACTGAAGAAGATGAAACATCTTCAAGACCCTAAAAATGTCCAGTTGACCTGGATGACCGATAGACATACTGTAGGAACCCACTAGATTGGAAATCTGTTGAACACACAGACACAGCAGCCTGTGTACTGTACACACTCTTATGCATTGTTACTCTTAACAACTGTTACTCTTAACAAACAAACAAAAAAAAACCTGCGCTTCTTGAGCCGGATATCAGGAAGTCTCAGTGTCCTGGAGATTGCTGAGATGTTAGAATTCCCAACCACACCTCAGGAACTGATTTTGTGGAACTTTAATGAATAAATACATACGATTGCTTTTTGATGAACCATCAGAATGGTAAGTAGAGCTAACGGTGAAAAATCAAGTGTCGTTGTGCCCTAATTCTGGAATTCTGATGTAAGTCAAGGAACATTTCATAATAACAACAGTACTACTACTACTACTACTATTGCTACTACTACTACTTGTACTACTACTACTACTACTACTACTTATAATAATATTTATAATTATATAGTTAATAATCATTAAGTCTGTTCAAAAAAAGTCCTGACTACACTGTACTACAGTAAGTACACGCAAATACTGCTGAACTGTACTGTGTCATTTCGACTAGGTGACTGGGTTTGTTATTAGAGCAGCTTTGTTGTCCACATTGAACCTCAATAACAGCAGCTTCCACAGACATAATTTGGTTGTTTTATTTTGAAAACTCTGCTGTGTCATAATTATACCTTAATGAGTCTGACCAGGACACAGAGTCAGAGGTGGGTCTATAAATATAAGTCAGTTTAATGAGCGCAACCTTTAGCACGGTCTCTTTATCAATACTGGAGAAAAAAATACATCTCAGCACCAAGCAGTTCTTAAAAAAATATTCTGGGGAAACAAACATCTTGAATAGACTCTGAAGTATCACGGGAAACGTGTATTAGTTAAGTGGAGGAGCATGACGGGCTGCGGTGGTTTTTCATTTCCTAAACCAGCTTGCCTCCTGCTACTTCCACATGAACACGGTTCATCTTAGAACATATTAAATCACCATGACAGATACAAGAAAAAGAAAGAATTTTTAATTGAATTCACTGTTTCCAAAGCTTTAGTCCAGCAAAGGTCTGTCCTCTTAAGGCTCCAATGGAGCTCCTGCCCTGATCTGGAGTCAGCTGTCAGCCACAACAGACCCACAGAGACAAATGCGTACATGCTGCATCCTATTTCTAGACCGGCTAAAGACATTACAGCCTAAATTAAGTTAGATCTCCCCCGCAAGCATGTATCCATGTCCAAAAACCCCAGTGGGAAGTAATCTTATCCAAACATGGTGAGGAGGAAGATGGCAGTGATATGATTAGAAATAATTGATCATGTCCTGTGAATCGTCCTTGTTAGCAATAATGTTTGATGATGATCCTGCCATAAGCCAATAGTGAAGACCACCAGCAGGTCATCTGTTTGCCAGGTACGGGGTGAGTTAAGCCAGATGCCAAGCAATGACCACCTTGTTGGACCATATGTCAAAATAAAAGCGTCTTATTTTATTATTTGCAGGTGTAATCAGGTGAATGTATGTTTTAACTGCTATAATATTTGGTGAAATAATATTTCACCATCGTATTTGACAGGCGGCCTGTTGTGTCTCTGCTCTGTCCAAACCCTGCTGGACATCCTACGCCTGCGCCCCACTGGCGACAACACTCCCCCCACAGGAGGAGACAGGAGGCACTCAAGCCGCCCACTTCTAATATGGTTTATAGTGTAATTGATATATCCATAAAAGAGCTTCTGGTAAATGATTTTAAATTATGTTATAGTTTTTAATATAGCGTCAGTGTAACTGTGACTCAGCTGAGGCTCCAGGAGATGAACAAAGGCTGATTTCACTGTGAGGGATATGACAATAACTGTGATCACATCACAACGATAACAATACTGATAACACCACTAGTCTGATTCTCCTGAAAAAAAAAGTCTAAAAATAGTTACAAAATGGTTTTTTTTTTCAACAAATGAATAACACTAGAAACTAAATTTTTTTTTTCAACAAATGAATAACACTATAGGAGAAATATTATTTTGATTTTTTTTTTTTTATTGACAGTCTGGACACATCCTGTTGACCTGTGACATTATGAAACCGTCCCCGCTCCTCTTTGACATTTGTCAGTCTAGACTGCTCCTTTTTTCCAGGCTAACAAAGAGTTTATGAAAACACTGAACTGATGATTTATTTGACCTGGTATTCCTGTTGACAGCAGCAATAAATTTAACACTTCTTGACAAGTAGGTAGAGTAGTCTTCAAACGACAGACGAGAGCAACAGGGGGCGGGGCGGTGGGGGAGGATCAGAAAGAAAGAGAGAAGGAGGACATGTCCTACAGCAACATCTTTGGGTCTCCTCTGAGGCAACAGGCTTTCAAACCCACAACAGCTGGAGGGCTCGGCATTTCAAAACACTGGATTAAAAAAAACCCTCTGCGTACACAGAATACAATCTTCCAAGTCAGGAGACACACAAACACTAACACTGGTTTTAGTGTTTGGTAAGCACTTTTTGTAGCGGCTTATATAGCCCCCCCCTTCCTCACCTCCCAAAAATTTCTTAAAAAAGTCCCCACCAGTTTAGATAAAGAAGGTATAAACACACACACATACACACACCGCCATGTCTACTGACATGTATTAAAATATTTAGTATACACTGTATGTCCCACCAGATACATGTATGGCATTTCCTCCTTTAGGGACAAATGTAAAATAGAACCTAAAACCACTTGACAGCTCTGTGGCTCTGCCGTTGCTTGGCATTGCCTCACTATTGCACCAACTTCTGGCCGGGCTTCACAGCAGCTCCTCATCTCTGCTCAGGAACCAGGTCTTTCTGACAAGTCCAGTCGGTCTGTGATGAGTTTGTAATGTGTAATAGATGGAGTCCGACCACACGTATAAAAGATTCAACTGCACAACAGCTGGGTTTGTGTATAACAGTGGGGAAAAACATTGGCTCCTTTGTTTATAGTCTTAGAACTTAGCTTAGCAGTGCTAACGGTAAGCGTTTAGAAGCAGTGACAAAAACCAGCTGATGTTCCGCACTGATGTTGACCATCTGTGGACTGTTGTCACCTTTATTGTATTTCTGCAGGGTGTGGTCACACGGATCTAATTTAAATGAAGAGTGTCTATTTTAACCAAGTATATTTATATTTATAAATATATATTTTACCATTAATAAGCTCGTAAATATGACCAATCTAAAAAAAGTGCTGACGTTGTCAGTGTTGACTGAGTGTGCAGGATTTAATGTGTGGCAGGATATCACTTTCTCTGAGAACTACACATCCTGGCTTTGGTTTGGGAACACTGACAAATTATATTTGGCACAACACATGAACCACACGATACGCCAAGAAAAGCCCGGCCTCAGCAGTGTCAGTGCGGAATAAAGGAAACAGTTTGCTCGGTGGCTCGTCTCGCAAACAACAATTTCTAGTTGTAGATTGTCTTTTTGGTTTCTCCGTGCATTTGTCAGTGCTTGAAAAAAAAACAAACATTTTAATTACCTCCAGTATAAAACAGGACATGATGGCTGCGCTGTACACATCCTGCTAAATGATCAGAAAACAGGCAGGTGGTGTAAGGCAGGAGTCGCTACAAAGAGAGAGGCAGGGGGGAGACAGAGGCAGGGGGGGGACAGAGGCAGGGGGGGGGGAGGAAGGGGGGCCGCGGGGGGCGGAAACAGGACTCGCCGTGGAACGACAACAGGAGTCAAACCGGGGGGAAAGAAAAGCGAGAGAACGGAGCACCACAAACATGGAGGGTTTGTTGTTTCCTGTGAGATGTAATTGATAGAGTCACCTCGGGCGATGCCTTCAGGACCAGAGGAGTCGAGAAGAGAGCAGGCAACAGCAAGGCTTCTCCACAACCGCCGAGTGTCAAAACTGCTGTTGACTAATGCATGAGAAGAGCGTACACCTGAGGAAGCAGGTGTGTGTGTGTGCATGGGTGCGTGTATTTTGTGTTCCTGATATAGCTATACTTGTGGGGACACATTTTGTTGTCATTACGACGACCTTTCGCAGGTCCATACTAAGTAAAACAAAAGATTTGAAGTTAGGATTGGAATAAAGAGATTAGTGTTAGTTTATAGATTGAGATTGGACATTTTTACACCAGTTAAAGTGTGGGTAGAGGTGAGTGGATTCTAGGGAATAAGAGAGAGAGAGAGAGAGAGACTAAAAGGGAGAGTGTGAAAAAACAAGGGAGGGAAAAAAAAAGTAATTGTCAATGACATTGTCAATGTCATTGTTTCACCTGAGCCCAAAGGTGCACACACGCAGACTGCGACGTGCACACACGCACACACACACGTGTAGGGCAGAAGTTATCATCCTGTGTTTTTTATTCATGGCAGCTCTTTTATTCATGGGCTCTTCTTTTTCAGTTCACTTTCAAACAGATGCCCCTGACGCTGTGATGTGTTGAGCCTCTGGCACAGTTTCACAGAGTGTGGGCTGGGACACACAGATGCACAACCACACACAGACATGCTGTTTATGGGCTCAGGCTCAATAATAATTCCACACTAACTACAGGAGATTACACAAACCCAATTTAAACATCTAGGCCCATAAGAACAGGAACGACACCTGACTATCTTTTCATCAGTGTTTTCACCTTCGGTCAGCTGTATCTTCTTGTGAGAAGGCTGAGAAGAAGAAGAGTGGGCCATGAAAGAGCATAAAGTCATGTAACTCCTGCTGGAGGCATGAAAGTTGGCAGCGCTAAACGAGCTTCATGTTTAATCTGCATCGCTTTAGAATTTCTCTTCGGACTCAAAGCGCAAATT